AGGTTAGGGTTGTTGTTTTCATTTTGTGGGTAAGGGAAGAGACTTGGAGGTTTTCAGTATCTTGTTCAAAGTAATCCAAGTAGTAAGGGTCATCGATTAATGAAGCTTGCATGTTGACTCTGAAGTAACTAAGACAATAGCAATATTTAATATTTTTATTCAACTTTAGACTTTTTGGTATAATAAAAAAATGCATCTTACATACTTTATCTCACTTGATTCTTACAGTTCTTTTATACTAATCATCAAATTGCTTTCTAAGTATCATCAAGGTAAATAATATTCCTATTTTAGAAATAAATATGTGTATGAAACAAAAGTAAGGTGTTCTGTGTTTATTATCTGAGTATAAGCATCAGAATCTTTCTAGTCAACTGTGTTTGCAGTTTGGAAGTCATTCTCAATTTCTCTGTGCCTTACGCATCCCCTTTCTATGATTGAACCCTAACTATTCTATCACTCGAATTTCTCCCTTTCCCTCCATTTGCATTACCATGTTTCAGCCTTTTTTGTTTCTCATTTAAACTGTTTTAGTAATATGTTTATTTCCAGTCTCTCTTCTTTAACCTCCCCCACTCTGGTACCAGAGCAATATTTGTTAAAGATCTATTTAATGATGTCATTCTATGACTTAACATAACAGCCTTCAGAAGCTTCCCATTGCTCGTATCGGGTCAGATTCAGTTTCCGTAGCATGACCTTTTAGGGCCTTCCATATTCTGATCCAGCTACTCATCATTTCTCAGACATGCTATTCCCTTTCATAGCCTTTTCTATAGCTCATTTGGTTCTCATTTTATTCCTCTACTAAAACATAGCACTTAGCCTAGTGTGACTCACAGTGAAATCTCAGTAAATAATTACTGCATGAATGACTATCTCAGGACTACACAAGTAATTGGTGTTAAGTAAGGAGTAGAATCCAGATCTCTTAAGTCAAATGATTTTTTTAAAAACCTCTATCATACAGCCTTTTATCAAAATTACATAGAGAAACTTTGTGCTGGAAAGGTAATTACAGAAGCAAATAATAAGACTTGTTGAACATATTGTTGCATCTTCAGTCAGCATCAGCTTTCTGATTCCTTGCCTTAAGAAAATTAAGTACATATGACAGATAAATTACAGATATCTACTATCTTTGTAAACAATACAACACAGCAGTTATTTAAATAATGAATGCCTCTAGTTTATGTTGCAGAGGATTTCAATTTTATGATAAAGAAAATTTCTGGAGTTACCACCATTGTTGTATAAATCAAAGTGCATCTCTATCTTTTAACCCTTACATCTAATTCTTAAATATTACAAGTATTTTATTTGTTTAATGACAATTTAAAACTATTTCATAAAGGATATTCTTTGTTGTTTTATCACCTTACTTACCCTCTCCTTGAAACTAGTAATCTTTGGTAATTCCCCTAATTTTTCAGACTCTTTTCCCTACTCATCTTGGGCAATGCTGAAAAGAGAGGATAGTTCCCAGTCTGTTTTTTATGTACTTGTAGGTGTAGAAATAGTTGCATCCTAGTAATTATGTGTAAGATGCTTCATATTTTCTTGCCTACAGTTCCATGAACAATTTTCTTTAATAACTGTATTTTAATTCACTATTCTACTCTCAAATTCCTCAAACATTTTAATTCTTCTGGTACATGAAATTTCAACTGTTAATTGCCCTGTTGTTTTATTATTTGACTTTTTTTTTATAAATAGTTAAACCATTTGTGGATAATATCAAACAAAGCAGTTAATATTTTTACCCCCTTTTACCTAACATTTCTGGAGAAATTTTATATCATTTTTATGAAAACCTTTTCATTTCTTTGGCATGGACACCTTTGAGAATCTGATGAAAACTATATCGTCATTCCCCAGAAAAGTACCTGTAGGCACATCCACATAAAATATTTTTAATTTTATGAAATTGATCTGCTCTATTTGACTGCTAACCAGAAGGCTGGCAGTTCAAACCACCAGCCACTCCTCAGAAAGACGATTGGGCAGTCTATTTCTGTAGATACCACCTTGGAAACCCAAGGAGGGGTCGTTAGGAGTCAAACTGACTCAACAGCACTGATTTTGGTTTGGTTTTTGGTTTTGTGAACTATTAACTGCTTTGCTGTTACTAAAATCAAGAGTATCATTACATGAACCTTTATTCATTGCACATTTTCAAATATACCAGTATAATTCCATTTTTAAAAGCTAGATGAGATAGGATATCAGCAAACTGTGGTTTTCAAACTTTATTGTAATTTCTTTTTTTGACAGCTCACAAATAATGACTCATGAATAAAAGTATTTTAGAAATGTAACTAGAACCTTTAGCCATCCAATTATATCCTTTGAAGTAAAATTTTCATAGTACGTATTTGTTACCCAGAAATAGCAGGGCAAATCAAGTTAACTTAATAGTCTTTTCTAAGGTAGCTGCTAACAAATATTCAGTGCCTATGAGAAAAAGAGACTGGAAAGAAAGGACTATACCACACAGTTGTTAATAGTGGTTAAGCGCTTGCTTGGCTGCTAACTGGAAAATTGGCAGTTCAAATCCACGAGCTGCTCCACAGGTAAAAGATATGGCAGTCTGCTCCTGTAAAAATAACAATCTTGGAAATCCTAAGGGATAGTTGTACTTCATCCTGCAGGGTCCCTATGAATCGAAATTTCTCAGTGACAGTGGGTTGGGTTTCTGTGTATGTGTGTGTTTTGTCATACCACCTGTATTTTCAAAGGTTTTTAAAAATTGTTTAGCTTATTTATAATTTTATTTGTCTTAATGATTTTTTGCTGATGGAATTTTTCTTGTTGAAAAAAAATCCATTATATTTTATTGTTGAAAAGATCCATTATTTTAAAGAATGATTAGTACAGGCCTTTCTGAAAGTGGTTCCTTTATCATCTTACATGTTCTTTTAAATCTTATACACAAGTGTAAGAACAAGAAAGTGTTCTTTAATGACAAAAATTCAAGCAATACATAAACATACAAAATAAAATATGAAAACTCCACCTATTCTACCTCACATGTAGCCACAGGTAACTATGTGGTGTGCCTCCGTCTGTCCTTTTTAACATAAATTAAATCATCTACACATTCTCCTGCAATTTTTTCTAATTAGATGTCTCTGTGATGTTTTTTCTATGCCATTTCATTTTAGTTTATCTTGCCAGTTTCAGCGCCTACAAGATATTCTACTGCTTGGATTATTCTTTCCCCTAAGGATAGAAATTTGTGTTATTGCCAGTATTTAATTTCACTGCTGCAAGTAGTGCTATAGTGAACATCCTTATACATTCCCTTTTGTGCTTGTGCATGTGTACAGGTATTTTTCTGGAATAGCTGTTTAGAGGTCACTTTATTAGGTCATAAAGGAGTCCTGGTGACACAGTGGTCAAAGCATAGTAAGTAAAAGGTGGATGGTTCAAATTCACCAGCTGTTCTGCAGGAGAGAGGTGTGGTTGTCTGCTTCCAAAAAGATTTACAGCCTTGGGAACCCTCCAGGCAGTTCTGCTCTTTTAGGGTCTCTCTGAGTCGGAATCGACTTGACAGCAGTGGCTTTGGTTTAGTTTTGGTTGATTAGGGCATAGATTATACTCATTTTTCACATTTTGGTAAATACCGCCAAACTCCGGTTTACCTTCCCTCAGTAGTATGTGAGCAGAGAGGTTTACTCTTTATCCTTGTCTATACTTAACATTACTGATTGCTTCAGTAATTTTAAAGTAAACAAAAATGTTTCTTGTGTGTGACATTTCATTTTATTGACAGCACCAAACAGATTTGCAAAAATACTTTTAGAAGGATTTTGATGTAAAATATTTTCAACAGTAGTCACATATTTTTAATATTGTTGACCTAAGGTCAACAATAGAAACTGATAGCTTGTGAGCGGCAAGGATACAGACAATCTATCTGTAGATTGCTTAAAAAATTATTTTGTATATCTACCAGTCTTTTTAATTAGGGAGGTTTTACACAGAACTGGCTCTTGAGAAATCGAAAGAGCTGGCAGTACTGAATCCAGATTTTCCTATGTTTTCAGTGTACTGCATTCAGTTCTCAGCTGTCTCCTTTAGCTGGGAACATACTGTCCTCATGTACTGGTTGGCACCAGCAGGCTTGCTTCCTTTATTACTGTCTTGGCTCTGTAAGCATTTGATTTGTAAACCCTGTAGCCTACATGAAAGCACATTAATCAGACATGATTGCTTCATAAACTGAGTTTGTTACATACCATTGTTAATAAAGGAAGGGTGGTTAAGAAGGAAGGAGAAAACCCCATTATCAGACCAGGACAGGAAGTAACTTTCTGAAACACAACCAGAGAGTGTCATGGTTGATGTTTATTAAGCAGGCTTCTACTTGTCTACAGGAGCTCTGGTGGCACAGTGCCTAAGGCATTTGACTGCTAACTAGAAGGTTGGCAGTTCAGACCCATCAGCCACTCTGCAGAAGGAAGACGGGGCAATCTACTTCTGTAAAGATTTACCACCTCGGAAACCCAGTGGGAGTCAACTATGAGTCAGAATTGACTCTATGGCAGTGGGTTTGGTTTTTTTGGTCTACTTGTCTATTGCTTTGTTAGAAATTATGGCCCTGGTGGCACAGTGGTTAAGCACTCAGCTGATAACTGACCAGTCAGTAGTTCAAACCTACCAGTTGCTCTGCCGGTGAAAGATGTGGCAGTTTGTTTCTGTAAAGATTACAGCCTTGGAAATGCTATGGAATAGTTCTACTCTGTCCTTCCTGTAGGGTCGCTAGAGTTAGAATCAACTTGACGGCAGGGGATCTTTTTTGTTTGTGGTCTCCTAGTTTATTCTGAGCCCTGTTATTAGTTGTAAAATCCAGTGACTAGATGATGTCTAGGTTTGCAATTTTTTGCTGAATATTTTAGACTCATAATTTGATGTGCTATGTTTACATTTAACTTTTTCAAATGCTGATTTAGAATTTGCATTCTTAAGATAATTTACCAAAATCCTGTTTGTACTAGCTCACCATGCCTTCTCCTATGCCTGAGTACCTGAATGTGCACTACATTGGGGAGTCTGCCTCCAGACTGCTGTTCTTATCAATGCACTGGGCACTTTCGATTCCTTCCTTCCAAGCTCTAGGGTGAGTGTTGTGAAGTCCTTGAATATAAATGTGATTTTGTAGCACAAATGTACATTGAAAAACCTTTTGTTTTGGGAGAATTTCTGGAAAAGAAAAAAAATGATACAACATTATAACCTAAATTTTGTGATTTATGTGACAAACCATGGTAGCTAACCAATATTTTCTGTATATTCTTTTTAAGAGAAAGAGTTATCCATATTTCATAATATAACTGAATTAGCAGTTTGGATGGAGTACATGCAGAGGAGCTGCTAATCATGGCTCGCATTTGTAATAGCCGTCACAGCTGCCCCCAGCTCATGGTGACCCCATGTACAAGGGACAGAAACACTGCATGATCCTGCGCCATCCCCATGATCAGTTGCAAATCAGACGTATGTGATCCAGAGGGTTTTCTTGGCTGATTTTTGGAAGTAGATCACCATGCCTTTCTTCCTAATCTGTCTTATTATAGGATTATTGCTTTCTTCTACTACCCCCACTTCACATCTGCTGTTTCTGTGTTCTTTTCAGGCTTATTAACTAAGGAGCTGAAACCTGCTTACAGTGAATACATTCAAACATAATGTCATTGTTTTCTAATCTTGTGGGTTGATGGGGAAAGAAAGAGCAAATTCCACAGTCAGTACAGTGATCTACAGATTTGGTCCTGTAACAAAAGAGCCCATCTTTATTCTGTTCTGAAGTAATCAGATGATCTGGAAAGTGATCTATTATAAGTAACTCCATCTCTACCTAAAGTTTGCGAAATTTAGAATGCTTGAAAATAACTGAAATCAAGAGACAGTGAAAAAGGTCGAGGCCACAGTCAGGAAATTCTTATTCTAGTCACAGATCTCTACTTACCAATAGGGTTTAGTAAACAGAATTCACTTCAGTACCCTGTATTTTTGTCTTCCCATTTGTCAAATGGGAATAATAACTGCCCATCTCTTATCCTTAGAGAGTACTAAGAAACATAACTGAATCATGATTGTAAAAGGCATACCAAGAACACTGTAATTTGATTTATTAAGTAGTACTGGATATATCATACATTATTAAATCATATGCTGAAATAATACAATTACATAGACCTAAAGCCTGATTTACAGTGGTTAGCCTTTAAAACAATTGTTGTTAATCTTTTCAGAATTTCTCCAGTTTTTTTAGAAAAAATTAAAATACAATATAAATTTACATGTTTGTTGTTGTTGTTATGTGCTGTCGAGTCAGACCTGACTCATAGCGACCCCTCCTTGGGTTTCCGAGGCAGTGTCACTATGGAAGTAGATTGCCCCATCTTCCTTCCAAGGAGTGGCTGGTGGGTTTGAACCACCAGCCTTCTGGTTAGCAGTCAAGTGGCTTAGGCACTACACTACCAGAGCTCCTAATTTACATGTTAGCAATTAGTAAAGTATAAAGCAAGAAGTGTAGTTTCCTAATCTTGTAACTAACATACTTGTATCTTGAAAAGTAACCTGGTGATACATTTAGTAATGGGAGGTCTGGTAGCATAGTGCCTAAGACATTTGACTGCTAATCAGATGGCTGTTGGTTCAAACCCACTAGTCACTCCTTGGAAGGAAGATTTGCAATCTACTTTTGTAGAGATATCACCTTAGAAACCCAAGGAGGGGTCACTATGAGTCAGAATTGACTCAATGGCAGCGAGTTTGGTAATTCCATAGGTGAGTTTAGTAATAGGCTATCAATTATTATAGTAAAACAATAAAAGGAAGGGATTTTCAAAAAGTAATTTGAACTCTTTGAATTATTCAAAGTACTGTTGATGTTAAGTACTTCTGTTAAATTCTATGTAATTATCTTATGGAAATAACCCAAATTTGAAGAGATGAAATATAAAGTGTTAAGTTTCCAGTTATAATATAATTAATGTTACAGTGGCAGCTACATTTCCCTGTGATCTTTTTGGAAAATCAGTTTGAACATAACAGCCACCACATGCTTTGTAATTAGAAAGCTATTGATTTAGCATTCAAGGCCATTGATTGCTATATAAACTCTTATTTCTTATCCCTGCCTACATAATTCGTAGGCTTATTTATGTGTTGACTCAATCAGATGGATAAGAACTAAATACTAAAGACAGACATAATCTCTGACATGGTAATAAAAGCTATTCCAAATCTCCTAAAAACTGATAGTGGTTGCCTTTTTATTTCTAGATAAAATACTAAGTAACAAAACCCCAAGGAAACAGATGGACAACATTAATCATTTTCTAGAAGTCCACTTTGTTTTGATCACTTATCTTAATGGAGGGGAAGAGTAGCATAAAGAAACTTAAAAACTGCGTGGTTAATACCATTTGTATTTGGTGTTCTGTATTTTACAAGGGTGTTGCTTTTGTGTGTAAGATTCATAGTTTCAGTACTTACAGGAATTCAATTGTTGCTTTTAAATAAATTCCTCCTGCATAATTTGATGATAAGCAACTACAAGCTAGTACTAGACTCAGGTTGCGAGCTCCTGGTATGAATTGCCTGGGGTGAGAATTCAGCAATTCTCTCTACTTAGATTCTTATAGTGTAGTCAGAAATTCCAAACATCATCATTTGCCATAGGAGATTTATTTATTGAATAAGTTCAAAACCTTCCACTAAATGCTAAGCCTAAAAATTGAAACTTAAAATACCACTGAAACAAAGTACTGTTTCCTGTAACCTGGTGGGTTTGAAACCAGTTACACTGCTGTTTCACAGATTATTTTTCCCTAAAAACCATGCCTCAGTTCAAGCAGATTCTACTCAGGAAAGCATAATGCCTTGGGTTTAGTTGCATTGGTGAATGGTTAGGTTATCTCTAGGTATAGATGACTCAAAAGTCATTTCCCTTTATCAGAATAGATAGTATAAACAATGATCTAATTGCTGATTATGAGCACTGCATACATGTTTTAATGACATGAACAATATGATACAGGAGTTAAAGAAAAGTGTTGTTATACATTTAAAAAAAGAGGACATACTTACTATTATGCAACTTAATGCTTTAAAAAAAAAAAAAGTTGGTGTTGGTTTCTGGGAGTCTGACTTGATACCTTAATTAGCTTCTCTACCCAGCTTCTTTTATTTCCCAAGGGAAAAATGTTTTGAAAATAGGTAGCATAGTTTGACTGCAATATTTGTTTTGTTTTCGTAACAGAGAAAACATCACAAAATATTACTCGTAAATGGAGATTCTCTACTGAGAAATTTGACTTTAGCATTTTATTAATTAAATTTTGAAATAATTTATAGAACAGTAGAGACTTTGGATACTGGGTTCAAATTCTGGTTCATCTACCTGCTAACCAAGTGTCTTTGGACCAAACTGTTTAACCTCACTGAGATTCAGCTTCCAAGCCCCTAAATCAGGAGAAGAAATGCCTCCATATGGGCTGTGCCACTTAGGTGACATAATGACTGTAAACTTACCTCACTCACTGCCAGCTGTGAAGGAGATCATAAATGGTCATTTTCCTTCATTCTCTCAGGAACCTCCTTATTTTTTCCTAATGAACTTTCAAAAAACAAATTTGAACAACATAGCTAGCTTAGCTATTCTAGAATGTGATTTTTTTTTTCTTCCTTTTTTTTGAATAAAAATGTAAATAGCTATTTTTTGCTTTCATTTATTTAGCTTCATGACTTTTCCTTAACTCAGTGGTATAGCCCCTTGGACTCACAGTAGAAACAAAATATCTGCTAATTCATTCTTCAGTTGCTGTTTTTCATTTTTTCTCTGTAGGGATACAGATAGCAATTTTGATGTTTCCCTGTCTTCTGCACTGATATTCCATAATATTTTCTCCCCAAACAGTTTCAAGACACTTTCTTCCTGTTAGGTGTAGCTCACAGTAAGAGTTCTGAATTTTTTTCCATTGCCTCTGTTCTTTTCCCTTTCCTGTGTTTAGTAGTTCATTACCTTGGCCAGCTGTATACTCTTTATAAGGGTAAGATGAGTACTGAATTGTTGGAATGTTTCCTTCATGTTTACTTTTCATATTTTCCAATGTTTATAAAATTTTAAAGTAACACTGATATATATAACTATAACTGTAAAAGAAGCTCTGGTGGCGTAGTGGGTAAGGCATTTGGCTGCTAACCAGAAGGTCAGTGGTTCAAGCCTACTGGCTGCTTCACAGGAAGAAGATGAGGCAATCTACTTCTGTAAATATTACAGCCTTGGAAACCCATTGGGGGTCATTGTGAGTCAGAATCAACTCGATGATGGTTATGTAACTATACAGTTAAAGCCTCACTCTCCAGTGATAACTAACCCTACTGTTACCAGATCTTTCCCATGCCATATTTAAATAATCAGGTAAATGCAATTTACAGATTCACGTCTCTGACTTGCATTTTCCATTTATATTGTGGTCTTTTGTCTGTGTCAGTACATGTAAATTTGTCCTTTTCTTTTTAATGATTACCTAGTATTCCAGTTTATGGATTTATTGTAACTTACTTTAAAAGGAAAAGAAAACCCACTGCCATTGAATCAGTGCCTACTCACAGGGACCCTTTTGGACAGAATTGAATTGTCCCATCTGGTTTCCAAGGCTGTAAATCTTTACAGAAGCAGGTTGCCTCATCTTTGTCCCACAGAGTCATTGGTGGGTTCAAACCTCCAGCCTTTTGGTCATTAGCTGAATGCTTTAACCACTGTGCCACCAGAGCTCCTTTTAATTTACTTACTTACACCTATTTCGTAGATATTTGGGTTGTTGCTTGTTTTCTTTGTTGTTAGAAGGAGCCCTGGTGGTGCGTTGGTTAAGCACTTAGCTGCTAACCAAAAGATTGACAGAACCCACTAGCAGCAGGAGAAAGATGTGGCAGTCTGCTTCTGTAAAGATTTACAGCCTTGGAAAGCTTATGAGGCAGTTCTGCTCTGTCCTGTAAGGTCACTTTCAGTCAGAATCAAATTGATGGCAGTGGGTTTTGGTTTTGGATACTATAATAAATATGGTTGTACGTGGTTAAAGCATTCAGCTGCCAATCAAAAGGTTGTTGGTTCGAACCCACCAGCCACTGTATAGGAAAAAGATGAGGCAGTCTGCTTCCATAAAGATTTACAGTCTTGAAAATCCTATGGGGCAGTTCTACTCTGTTCTTTAGGGTTGCCTATGAGTCAGAATCAGGAGCCCTGGTAACATAGGGCCTAAGGCATGTGACTGCTAACCAGAAGCCTGGCGGTTCAAACCCACCAGCCACTCCTCGGAAGGAAGGTTGGGCAGTCTACTTCCATAGTGATACTGCCTTGGAAACCCAAGGAGGAGTCACTGTGAGTCGGGTCCGACTCGATGGCATGTAACAACAACAACATGAGTCAGAATCAACTTGATGGCAATAGGTTTGGTTTGGTTTGTACATGCCTTTACCTACTTGTGTTTGTATTTCTATAAAATAGATTTCTACAAGTGGAATTGATAGGTCTAAGAGGGTGTACATTGTAATTTTTCATGGCACCACCACCAGTTAGTTGCCATCAAGTTGACTGTGACTCATGGCAACACCATGTGTATCAGAGAACTGTGGTCCATAGGATTTTCAGTGGCTGATTTTTTGGAAGTTGAGTGCCAGGCCCTACTTTGAAGGCTCCTCTGTAGACTTGAACTTTCAACTTAAAAATTAGCAGCAAAGCACATTAACCATTTGTACTACCCAGGAACCCCTAAGTATTGATAAGTACTACCAAATTGTCCTCCAAAAAAGGTGTTAAGCCAGTTTTCACGCCCATCAGCGATGTATAAAAATGCTTATTTTTCAGTTCAATTCTGGATTTTATCCATGGCTTCTGTAAGTGAAAATAATACATTTTTATTATGTTTATTTTTAATCCTTTTTTCAATGAAGATATTAAATATTAAAGCATTCATTTTAAATTTTTTGAAGTTAATTTTAATAGGCTTTTTTTTTTTTTTTTTACCAAATCCTTCAATGCAGCCTTAACTGCTTCCTTCAATGACATTGGTTCTTACTGCCTCGAAACCCAAGGAGGAGTCACTATCAGTCAGATTCAACTCAATGGCAATGAGTTTTTTTTTTTTTTTTTTTTGAAATGGCAATTGGGAGCTCTGGTAGCATAGTGCCTAAGGCACTTGACTGCTAACCAGAAGGCTGGCAGTTCAGACCCACCAGCCACTCCTCCGAAGAAAGATTGGGCAATCTACTTCCATACTGATACCACCTCGAAAACCCAAGGAGGGGTCGCTATGAGTGTGAGCTGACTCAACGGCAGTGTGTTTGCATTAATGACAATTAGTCCTCAGATACCAAATGGAAAAGGAGAATCGGCATGGAGTTCAAATTTCACCTGATAATTCCCATTGAGAAAAATTAATTTCTATGACTCTTAATAATAGGTTTTATTTCAAGTATATTCAATTCTTAAATGAAATGTAATGTAGTGCCTAAGACACTTGACTGCTAACCAGAAGGCTGGCGGTTCAGACCCACCAACCACTACTGGAAGGAAGGTTGGGTAATCTGCTTCCATAGTGTTATCTCTTCAGAAACCCAAGGAGGATTCACTATGAGTCGGTTCCACTTGGTGGCACATAACAACAACAACAATGTAGTGTGAAGTGTCTGGTTCTTAATGAATGATATTTTAAGAAGAAAAAGCAAGTGCCTTTCATTGGGATACATAGTTCCTGTTAGGATGTTCTTACCAACTTAAATCTCTTTAGAGAAATGAAAAGAACTTGTATAGTTTGATTATCTTTTTTGTAATAAAGTATGTAATTTGTTTAAAGATGACTTGTGAATTAGCCCATGCCTTCAGCATTTCCATCTTGTCTGAGTTCTCATTTGTGCATGTTCTCTCTCCCCTGAGGTCAGAGTCATCCTTCAGTGAGGGTTTAATCTAGTGTGGGAGTCAGATCCCAAAACTAATAAATTAGGGTACCATGAAGTAAGTAAAGATACACGTGGACAAGTGGCATCTAAGGGAAGGTGATTATCTTGTTAGAGGAGTGTCATAAGAGAATGTGTCTTCAAGAGCGTGAGCCCTGAGCTAAATTTTAAGAGATGAATAGGAATTAAGCAAAAAAACTGAGGGAAAACAACATTCCAAGAAGAGAAAACAGTATTTAGTAATCCACTCAATAGTTTTCATGGAACACCTCCTATCTGCTCATCTCACCCCAGGCAGTTTGCTCTTGTTCTTTCTTCCTAAAATACTGTCGCCCTAAATTTTTTGTTTTGTTTTGTTTTTCTCCACAAAAGTCTGTCTTACCCTTCTCCATTCAGATGTCACCTCCTCAGAAAGGCGTTTTTAATCACCTTAACTGAACTTCCCTCTACTTTCTAATGTAACATACTATTTTGTAATAATGTAGAACTTTTATTAACTGAAATTACTTAAAGTATGTATGTGCTGTATTTAGAATATATTAAAAATTTGAAGTTACATGTTTTTATTTATTGTATTGCCCATCTGTTTCATGAGTGCAGACTTAATCTATCTTCATTGTTATTTTTCTAGTGCCTAGGACAGTGCCGGGTGTCTATAGTTTATCCCTCAGTATCTCCACACACTGGAGATTGGTCCCAGAATAACCCCACACACACACGTACACCAAAATCCATGGATGCTCAAATCCCTGATATAAAATGGCATGATATTTACATATAACCTACACAAATCCTCCCACATACTTAAAGTCATCTAGATTACTTGTAATACCTAATACAGTGTAAATACTATGTAAATAGCACTTTATCATCCCTCTTAGCCTTTGCGGATTGCACTGATCACTTAGTTGTTTTTTAGGTGGCTTTTTTTTTTTTTTTTTTTTGTCTTCTCGAATATTTTCCATCCAAGGTTGATTTAATCTTCCAATGGGGAAGCTGCAGATACAGAGGGCCAACAGTCCTGTATGCCGTGGCTTAGTCACATAATTCTTATGTCTCAGTCTCCTAATAAATGAGTAAGGTACCGGGTATGTGGGGACTCTGCATCTGATGGGGTACACAGCCTCAGATTGGGGAAGCTTACGTGCCTGAGTATAATCGATACTAAGTGGGTGATGTGGGTTTAAAGCCCTGTGTCTGAACTCTTGTTCTGATGATTTCTCTGCTCTTATGCTGCTGAGGTTTCCTACTCAGACACTCAGGAAAGGACGTTTGACCTTATCTCTTACTACTCCTAGTAAAATGCCTGCATAGTTCCTATAGGGTAGCTATAGTCAGAAATGTCATGACAGCAGTGGGTTTGGTTTCTTCTCAGGTAATGACTTCTGAAACAGAATAAACCTCCTAGAAAATTGGTTGCTTACCTGCCATCAAGTAATTCTGATTACCTTTTTTAAAAATAATTTTACATGCATTGAAGGTGAAAGACAATTTGGGAAAGTTGTTTTAAATGTGTGCTTTTGCTTTTATTTATTTACTTTTTAAAATTCCAGCTGTCTCTATGAAATATGAAATTAAAGTCCTGCTTTTTTTTTAGTTTGAAATATTATTTGCAACTGTTCTTATATACTAACTGAATGTTTAATAAACTAACATTGAAATATCCAAGCAGTTCCTTATCAGTTTCTATCAACTGTACAAAACAGAATTGATCAAGTCCACGCCCAGTTGGACTTTTTATTTTTTTTTAACCTTTCTTTTCACCCAAATCGATTCTTGTCCCTACCTAGCTAACGGTGTCCCCTCCCCTCCCTTCCCCTCCTCTCCCACTCCTAGTAACCAACAAAGAAAATTTTTTCCATACATAAACCTTTCCTTGACTTTTTACAATAACAGACTAATAAAATATTTGTCATTCAGTGATTGACTTATTTCACTCAGCATAATGTCCTCCAAGTTCATCCACGTTATGTGGTGTTTTGCAGGTTCTACATTACTCTTTAGGGTTGCATAGTATTCCATTGTGTGTCTGTACAATAGTTATCCATTCTTCAATTGATGGACACCTAGGTTGTTTCCATCTTTTGGCTATTGTAAATAGTGTTGCGATGAACATGGGTGTGCATATACCTGTTCTTGTCCTGGCTCTCACTTCTTTAGGATATGTACCTAGTAATGGAATGGCTGAGTCAAATGGTATTTGTAATTCCAACTTTTTAAGGAATCACCATACTGCTTTCCACAGTGTTTGTGTCATTTGACAGTCCCACCAGCAGTGTATGAGAGTGCCAATCTCTCTCCATCCTCGCCAGCATTTGTTATTTTCTGTCTTGTTGAACTTTGCTACTAGTGCTGGGGCTAAGTGGTATCTCATTGTTTTGATTTGCATCTCTCTATCAGTTGGACTTTTTAGAGTAATTTTAGTTAAGTAATATTTTATTCTTAAACATAGGTGAGTTATAAAGTTTATAAAATTTAACAGTATCTGACTCCTTTTGTTTTTGTTTTTGTGTAGGCAAGAAAACAGCATATTGTTGGTGAAAGCTTATTGGAATGAACTTTTTACTCTTGGTCTTGCCCAATGCTGGCAAGTGATGAATGTGGCAACTATATTGGCAACATTTGTCAATTGTCTTCATAATAGTCTTCAACAAGGTGAAAAGGACTTACTAATTTTCTTTTCTGGGGTATAGGATGGGGAATCACTTCTATCATAGGTTATGATTAAAGTTACATATCTGATGATTGTATTAATACTTCATTTTAGGTAACACTCCTTTTTGCTTTAGATAATTTTTACATTTTGATACATCAAAAATATTGTTAAATGAGAGCCCAACAAAATTGAAATGAGTGTATTTGAATTTGGCGGGCTGTTTCTGACCAGACCTGCGAGCTGTACAGCTGTTAGACTTTGTGGAGACTCTGAAGATCCAGGATTAGTTACATGGAGGTGATGAGACATTCCCCCAGGTTTTAAACTGCCTTTTCTTTACTTTAGCTGACAAGCTGATGCTTGTACCAATTCATCAGGATATACCTCACCCCAAAACAGTACGAAATAGTCATGGAAAGATTCTTACTCTCTTTTTCATTTTCTAGATGCCAAAGTAATTGTAACACCTACTCATTTGAGGACAGAGGCAATAGCTGATTTATAAATACTTAACTTTAGATTGGCATATCAATAACCAAGAGGTATGCCTCTCCTCAAATGAGGAGAACTACCTTTTAAGTTCAGGAAATAATTTATAAATTGGAAACTACTTCATTGTCTTACCGTATTCCTGTTGTCTTTTTTTTTTCTTTTTCTTTTTTTAAAAATCATCTGCCACCTCTTTATATTTAAAGGCAGAGGAATCACTATAATCTCATCAAATAGATCCATTCCCATCTTATTTACGGACTCTTGGCTCTGATCAGTTATTCATGTAATTATAGTATGTTACACTGTTTACCTGCAGTAAAGCTATGGTGGACTAACAAGATGTGTTTTAATCATCTTCCTCCACAATAAATTCAAATATTTATTTCTAATACTTACTTTTACTCCCCTTTTCTTTGGTCCCAGCAGTGTTTTTTGCAAAGTGTTTGTCTTTACTATAGTAATAATGATAATTTTGAAAAATCTAGATGGTTTTGCTAAAATTTTCAACCAATGTAAGGTTAAATAAAATCTTAATACCAGAATTTGTATTCTTTGTGCTTTGGTTGGCCAGTTTTTCAGGTTGTCTTTATGACTTACTGTCCCAGAGATGTATCTTGAGAGAAAACATTACTAGGGTTGTTCACACTGAACAACTTTTTTTTTTTTTTTTATTTAAATGAAGGGTGTCTGAAGATGATTAATAGTTTAATTTACAATTCATACTGCATTTTAAACTTTTCAGATCGGTTTTATTGAAACCTAGCAATTAAAGAGAAGGAAATATATTGCATGAAAATAGTTATGTGTTTTAAACAAAAACTGGAAACTTGTTTTTTGTTCATTTGTTTAAAACTAAAGATAAAATGTCAACCGAAAGAAGAAAACTATTAATGGATCACATCTTCAAACTGCAGGAGTTTTGTAACAGCATGGTTAAACTCTGCATTGATGGATATGAATATGCCTACCTGAAGGCAATAGTACTCTTCAGTCCAGGTATATAAATGTTTACTTCCTTAAAATGTAGTATTTGAGAATGTGGAGAAATAGGAATCCTCAGACATTGCTGGAGGGAATGTAACATGGTGCTGTTGCTTTGGAAAATGGATAGTTTCTCAAAATGTTAAACATGGAGTTACCATATGGCCCAGCAATTCCATATAGGCCCAAGACATGAAGCTATATGACCACATAAAAATTTGTACATGAATGTTCATAGCAGCACTATTCAAAAGAGCCACAAAGTCGAAACGATCCAAATGTCCCTCAGCTGATGAATGGATAAAGAAATACGTGGTAATATGTATACAGTGGAATCTTTTCTGACTATACAAAGGAATGAAGTACTAATATATGCTGTGCGACATGGATGAACCTTAAAACCATTATGCTAAGTGAAAGAAGCCAGTCACAAAGGACCGTATATTGTGTAATTCCATTTATCTGAATTGTCTAGAATAGGCAGATCTATAGAGAAATACAATAAAATAGTGGTTGCCAGGGACTAGGTAGAGGGGAAAATGGGGAATGACTGCTAGTATGGAGGTTCTCTTTGGGGTGACTGGAATGCTCTGGAAAGATTGTGGTGATGATTGTATAGTTCTGTGAGAACACTGAAAACTATTTTGTATGTTTTAGAATGTTGAATTTGATGTCAGTTGGATCTCAATTACCAAAAAAAAGTACAGTATTCTTTGCTGGGTTAGCAACTGTCTAGAAGGCTTACTACTACAGTTATCCTTCCTCTGTTGTATCCCACAGCTTTTAACTTTGATTACATTGATTATACTGAGACTCTTATGTTATTTATACACATTAAAGCTGCTTTGCCCATTGTGAACCCATACCTGACATTAGAAATGTATCTGTCTATGTAAAGAACATTGAAGAAATCAGTAATGTGACTGTGTAAACCTTTATTTTTTTGTATCGGCCTTTGACTCTTTATACTTGTTAGGTATCATTAAAAGGCAGAGTAAGAGATGAATATCGCTGTGTTAATGGCTTAAATTCCCCAACATCTTATTGTAGTTAACAACACGGAGAAGAATAAGCCATTTATTTACTTGTCAGTTTTATATTTTTCACATAAAATGATAGTAAACTCAATGATCAGTTTCTGAATGACAGAATCAGCTTTTTCGAGGTGCTGTACTTTCCTTTTGGAAATGTTTTTCTAAGCCTGGGCACCATATAAAGTTATTTCAGGAATTTTGCTGCTGCTCCTCCGTGACAGTGTTCTGGTTACCTAGTGTCGCTCTAACAAAAGGTACCACAAATGGGTGGCTTTAACAAACAGGAATTTATTCTCTTAACAATTTTGGAGGCTAGACTTCTGAGTTCAAAGTGCCAAACTCTGGGGGCAGGATGAAAGCCACTTGACCTTGGGCTTCAGTTCCACCTCTTGCTCCCAGCACATGGGAGCTAGAGGTGTCTTTTCACTTAGGCACCTGCTGGCTGCTGAAGCTAACAAGCCCAGGGTCAACAAATAAAATGGCACACTCCCAATATTACCAAACAACACAGCAAGCCACTAGTTCAAGTCCAGAGACAGTCCCAAGATCAGCAGGAAGCATGGCAGGCTGCTGAGGGAAGGCTCAGCTATGTGCAGGGTCTAAGCGTGCCAAAAAGCTGCAGACCGTTCCTAAAGCTTCTCCTTACACACTGGGAGCAGACCCATCCCTCAAGCAGCTGCTCAGCTGCTCCCGGCAAGTCCACCATGGAGCTGATGGCCAGTCTCATCAGGGGGACAACTACAGCCAGCTGCCCAGCCAGTTGACACATAACTTTAACTACCACAGACACCAACAAGATAATTAAGCTTGTTTGTGCTGTTTCTTCTAAGGTTTTACATGAGTTGATAACGTGTTACCTCCATTTTTATTACAATCTGCACTTTTGTTGTACTTAATATTTAAAGAACATAGATAGGAAGTTAGAATTATAAGGTGATTTTATTTGATTAAATATTTCCAGTATTTTCTATTTATCACTTTTTATTCTTTTAGTCAGGACAGAACTTACCACATTTTTCAACATTTCTTATGTTAGGTATAATTTTTGTGGAATTCTTTCAGCATTTCCATTCTTCAAATGCCATTGTGACCTTTAAAATGTTTATATAGATTATGTCATACTTTCATCATATTTTTTCTAATCAAGATGATACTCTGCTATCATAATCTCATAAGTACCTTTTTTCTAACAGTAGTGTTTTTTCCTTTTTAGAAATACAATGTAGAATATAATTGCAAATATTTTATTGGATTAAAGCTTTTCTAACTAGACTGAGTCATTTCATTTTTTGTTCCCTGTTTAAAGCACATTTATAAAAATCTTTCCCTTTTGGAATAAGGAGAAAGCTTTTTTGGTAAAGCCCAAATGTGTCATTTTCATTAGCTCTTAGAGTGTGTATATGAGATTAAATTGTTTTAAGTGATTAAAATATGATGCCTGATAAAAGTAGGTAGACTCAGTAAGTACTTGTAGAATGAAAGATCCACTATATGGGATTTTTTTTTTTTTTTAATGAACTGGTTTACCTGCTCCTTTCCATCTCCACCCCTAGTACTGTATTAAATGAGTATTCAGAACTAGGATAATAATATATTCTTTAACGGTTCAGATCATCCAGGCCTAGAAAACATGGAACAGATTGAGAAATTTCAGGAAAAGGCTTATGTGGAATTCCAAGATTATATAACCAAAACATATCCAGATGATACCTACAGGTATGTAAAACTTAGATAACTAAATTCATTTTTAAAACTGTTTTGTGAATCTAATTATTTCATTATTTTCCATTCCAAGGGCAATTAATCTTGACTTATGTAATAGTGAATGCTGTTGATAGCAACCGCGTATTACAAACATTTTACATGTATTTCATCTCGATGTCACATTTTATATAAGGGGAGTCTTCAGCACAAGGAGATTAAGTAACTCCTTTAAGCAACATACTTAATTAGCAAAGACTGGCAGTGAATGCAGGTAGTTTAACTCTCACATCCAATCTCTATGTCCTTCAGGTGAAATAGTGGATATTGTTAGTGAAAGGGGAGAGAATGTTTTAATGAATGAAACAACACTATTAGACAGTATTTTATAATTAATTGAAACATGGCTTGTGATACTTCTATTTGTTGCCTTTGTGTGTGTGTGTGTGTGTGTGTGTATGTATCTTTTATAAGATCACCTGATTTTGGAGGAAGGGTAGTATATAGAGTAGAGTAGGTAAGCACACACATACTAAAGCGTACCTGGGTTTGAATCCTGACTCTACCACTTACTAGCTTTATAAACCCTTTGGCAAGTAGCAAAGGCAGCACAGCATTGCAGTTAAAAGCAAAACTTTGCTGTGGAGTCTCCAAGCGTTTATCATATACTCTAAGGCTTGACAATATGAAAGTTTTTATTTTAACTTGTAAAAATCTTTATTGAAATTAAGCTACAATCAATGTATGTACAGGAATTACTCATTTTTATACCGAATTCCTTTCTGATTTACAACCGTGACATTCCCTCCCCCACCCCCTTTTTTTATTATTATTTATTTATTTTTAGGTTATCCAGGCTGCTACTCAGGTTGCCAGCTTTGAGATTGATGAATGCTACAATCACTGAAGAATTGTTTTTCAAAGGTCTCATTGGCAATGTACGAATTGACAGTGTCATCCCACATATTTTAAAAATGGAGCCTGCAGATTATAACTCTCAAATAATTGGTCACGGCATTTGAAAGCTGGATCTCAGAACTGTGAAGTTGTTGTTCTGGCCCAGGACACGAGAAGATACCAAATGGAACTCATTGCTTCCAGAGTATCTGGAAATTGTTACTTTAAAGAGTAACTAAAAATCCACGATGTTATTATTTTAACATCCTTAAGAATTTTTTAAATGACCTGGCAAGTCACAGGAATTAGAATATATGTGAATGAGAAATACCATGAATCTATTCTTGATGAAGATGACATCTAAAACTGTCACCTCTTGACTATCTAAACTAAAATCTCTCATTCTATTTTATTTTATAAAACGAATAAATTAGTCTTATTTTCCAGAATTGTGTTCTATTCATATTTAACTTAGTTATAAACTAGTACAATCACATAATGGGCAGAAATCCTTAAGGAAAATTTTCTGGATATTATTCGTCGATACTCTGTTTTAATTACCATGTCAAAAGAAGATTATTTTATGCTCAATGGTATAATGATAACAGAACTATAGGAGATAATTGAATATATATTTTTTTGTCTTTTGTCAATATCATGGCATCCTTTAGTATATATACTACTCTCATTGCTGGCAATGAGACATAGACCACTGATGCCCTTAAGAGTTGACGTTTTTAGTATATATTATTAGTTTCAAGCACTTTTTATTTATGTAGCACAAAAGTATAGGGTTCATGTTTTTTAATATGTTTACTGCTGTGTTTTAAAAGTAGTAGAGATTGAGCCCAGAAGTTTCAGTAAAATAGATAATAAAATTATTCTTTCATTCCACAAAAACTATTCTGACCTCTTCTCTGGCCGTTTTATAGCTTCCTGACCCTGCCATAGGAATTAGTCAGTTACTTTTAGGTCATAGAAAAATTCACCCAGTTTGTTGAATAAGTGATTTATCCTAGTTAATCCATGCTTTAAAGGTGAATTGGGCAATTATTTTAAATGAAATTAATAATTTAAAATAATTTCACAGTTTCTGTAATATATAATATATAAAGGAAAAATGACTTTTTTTCTCTGTAAAAAGGGGTAGAGGAGCTACTTTACAGTATGAAGATCACCCTTGTTAAGGCCACAACACAAGTATTTCAGACTCTCCTTTGTTGTCTCCCACGTTGTTTTCCTTAGCAAACCTTGTACTGTTAAGTATTTTTTACTCTGCCTTCATAATGAATTACTCTGATACCTGTTGGTTTTTTTTAAACAAATATGGAGACTTTATTATATCCAAACTACATTTTTTATAAACATTTTTACAATACAGGAGAAGCTGGATGTTTGGGGTAGTGTGGATTTTTTTTAATTTCAACTTTATAGTAAATGAAATGTTTAAAAGTTAAAGGTTTATCAACTTACATACAGTCTTACTGACTCATTAAAGAAGACGTTTTTCCCTATTAAAAACAAGAATTTTATCAATAGGTTTATTTATAATTATCAGCTTGGAAAAACTACATTTAGTATAAAATAGTCAAATGGAAAAATCAATGGGTTCATCCTTTATAAGCCAAGGGTGGAGGAAAATAAATTCTTTAAAATAATGTACTAACGGTTAAGATGCATATTTCTTTCAGGTATTTTCCCTGATTAAATTTGTAGTTATATTTGGAAGTGTTTTAAAAACTATATTAAAATGTAACCTGCATTACAAATCTGTATCCTGCTAATATATTTGATTTCAGTGTCATATTTGTTCAATTCTAATCATCTGTTTTTGTTGTTGTTGTTCCATTGTATTCTCATCTTAAAGTATATCACTACTAGATTAAGAAAGCTCTAATAAGTATTATTAGGAGCTCTGGTAGCATAGTGCCTAAGGCACTTGACTGCTAACCAGAAGACTGGCGGTTCAAATCCACCAGCCACTCTTCAGAAGGAAGGTTGGACAATCTAGTTCCTTAGTGATACTGCCTCGGAAACCCAAGGAGGGGTCGCTATGAGTCGGGTCCGACTCGACGGCACATAACAACAACAACAACAATAAGTATTATTATCGATATAAAGTAGTAAATTGCTTTTAAATTCAGCTGCTTAAAATTCCATCTTACTTGATTTAGGATATGTGGAATAAGCTTTCATTTTATCATATAAAAATACATACAAATTGCTTTCTTTTATTTTACTACTGAACCCCAGTTTCACCAGCATCTACAACAGCTACATGTAGATGCTGATGCAAGACATTTGTTGACAGATTCAGCAGGGTTTGCTTCTTATATATATTTTTTGGCTCTTAGATGCTACTTAAAATACTTCTTGGAAGAGAACATGGACATCATCTCCATGATACATATTTTAGAATTACTTACAATTCAGTTTGAAGATTTGAGCTATTGTATATTGACTATTAATTTTTCTTTCTGCACGGAATCCTAGTAAAATGACAGTAAAGTGGTAACAGTACAAAGACAGAGAGAAGAAAGAAATCAAGGAATAACAGACTTCAAGAATTTTGGAAAGCAAAAAGCAGATGAAGAAGGTTAACCGCCTTAGCAGAGCCAGAACCAAGGAACCTTGCATCTGAGTGCCTGCAAAAGACAAATTCAGTGAGGAAAGAAACCAAGATACTTTGCAGTAGTATTAGATAATAAAATAGTCACATGTAAAATGCAAGTGTGTATATATGTAAAGATTAAAAATCCAGAATCACAAAGTGAGCAAGAAACGAGCAGCAAAATGACCAAAGGCATCTCACAAAGACATTTATAAATTAAAATGAAAAAACCTAAAGTAGTGGAAATTTAAAAAGTCAACACATTATGAAAGATTATGCCTTGAGTACCACTTTTAATTCTGACTGCCTCCTGAAATAGCATTAAAACACAGCCAAACAACTTTTTAAAGGAATTATCTCACAAAGACAAAAACAGAAAGAAATTATAGCTCTAAAATTTTGAAAGCTGAAATGACTGAAGCTTAGTGGCAGTTATCCTAACACACTGGAGAAGACTGGCTTCTAACGCTACAGTGCAGCAAGCTGAGAAGTAACCGGATATGCACTACCTCGCCACTGCCATTGAGTTGAACTTGCAGTAATCCACTTGGGTTTCCAAGGCTGTAAATCTTCACGGAAGTAGGTTGCCTCATCTTTCTTCCACAGAGCAGCTAGTAGGTTTGAACAACCAACCTTCTGGTTAATGGCCAAATGCTTTAACTCACTATGCCAAATGTTCTGGTATTTCAGCATCTCCTCTAGAAAGGAAAATGACTGGATCTGTCAGAAGTCTATTTAGGAAGTCAATACACCCACCAGAGTGATAAAATTATTAAAGTCTGACAAAATACCAAGTTCTGGAAAATATGTGAAGCAACAGGATGCATGTTGAGGTGGGAGTGAACATTGGTACAGCCACCTTTGGAAAGTAATTTTGCATTACTTAGTAAAGATGAACATGCATGTACTCCTACTTTTTTATCCTAGAGAAACTCTTAACATATGTGCCAGAAGACACAAAAAAAATGTCCTTCTAAACACTGTAATAGCAAAAGAAAAAAAAATTGGAAATGATAAAAATATCTATTAAGAAAATGAATAAATTGTGTACTGATGCAATGGAATAGTATGCAGCAATTGAATAAAATGTCATCATGATTGAATCTAGAAAATACAATGTTGCATGAAAAAAAAAAGCCCAGAAGTATGTAAATAATGTGAGTTAATCCCCAATACATAATTTTCCAAGAAGAAAAAGGAGTTGACAAGTACAAATAACCACACATTCAAGGAAACAAGGCACCATTAGCAAGAATTGCTAGAAGCAATAGATGGCAGAGCACGGTCTTGTAAAAGTAGATACAGTCATGGACCACATAACATTTTACTTGGGCAGCAAGGTTGTAATAAGAGTTCAAAATCCCAGTCAGAGAACCAGACATGGCCAGTGCAGCATCTTCCTGCGCTCGGCACGCGTATCTCATATCTCTTGTATACAAAGCAGTTTTGCTGGCAGGCATGTAATGGTACAGTATATACACAACCTGTAATGTCTTGGTAGCATAATAAATGCCTGTGTTACTGGTTTATATGTGTATTGTGCTGTACTTTCTATCTAAAACTTTACCATATAATAGTGTATGCTTCAACTCATAGGCAGCAACATCCAATCTCTTTCACACATCTCTTAAGTGTTGTAGTGTTCTCTCTGTTTAATTTTCTCCTGGGAATATCATGAAGCACATCATGGTTCCCAAATGCAGCAAAAGCAATGCTAGTGATGGCAACAGCAAAAGACAAAGGAGATGTATCAATTTGGAAGCGAAACAAAAGATTATTGAACTATGAAAGTGGAAAATGAGTGAATGGTATTGCTCATGATTTAGGCAGGTTGCACTTGACAATCACAATGATCCTCAAGAACAGAAAAAATTCTCCCAAGTTGTTAAAGCATCCACTCCACTGAAAGCTGCAAAGCTAATGAAAATGCAAGAGGGAACTGTAACAGATATGGAGAAATCACTAATGATGTGGATTGGAAACCAAACATAAAAGTGAAGCCCTCTCAGTATGTTGACAATTACTGCTAAGGCACAAAGCTTGTACAAGATGCTTAAAAGAAAAAGCAGGACCAGACTACGAGATGATCGATGTCCGCACAATGTCCAAATCACATAATGTCCTATTTCACAACATATCATGGATGGTAAACAATGCATGACTGTACTGGAATCAGACACAGATTATAATACACTTAAAGTCATGATGTTTGAAGAACTAAAATGCCGGAGTAAAAATACCTGCAGGGAACCAGAAACAATAAAAAGTGATTGAGTAAACTTGAAAAATAACAAAAAAAAATTCCAGAAATGAATAATACCATAGAAATTTAAAACTCAATGGATTTAACAGCATGTTAGATGCAACTTGAGAACATGTGGGTGCTGAAAAGTAGGCTGGAAGAAATTATTGAGAATGTAATACATAGAGAAAAAGATGAAAAATATAAAATCATGGTTAAGATATAGTCACTATAGTGATAAGATTTAAATGACCTTTAGAAGTGGAGAAGAAAGAATGAATGTCAGAGGAAATAACTGAAGAGCAAAGGCTGATGATTTTTGAGAACCAGTGAAAGGTATAAACTCACTAATTCAAGTGGGTTAAAGTTTTAAAAAGCCTGATAACATGCTAGTAAAAATACAGAACAACAAAGAGTGTATCTATCTAGTGTAAATGTGCACCTCATATGCCTGTCTTTTGTTTGCCTGGAAGTACAGGTGTGGGTTCAATTCCAGACCTGAAGGGCAGCTAGGGGCCATAGTCTAGTGGTTTCATCAGGCCCTAGCAGAAGCAAACATAGTCCCTTTTTTTTTTCAAATGATTTTGAGTTTTGTTCCACATTGTTCTCCCACTCTATCCACGGTCTCCTACATATATCCCCCTCCAAGTGGTTGGCAGCAGTAGTAGCTGGGCACCATCTAGCTCTTCTGATCTCATAGTTGCTTAGGCTGAAGATCTATCTCATGGTGTACCAGTCACTTGGACTAATTGTTTCCATGAATCTTTGGGGTTTTTTTTTTTTTTTTTTTTTCTTTGCTCTGGACAAGGAGAGACCCATCATTGCATCTAGATGGGTGCTTGCAAGCTTTTGAGATCCCAATCACTACTCGCCAAAGTAGGTGGAACAAAGTTTGTGTAGTATGTTATGCCAATTGAGTTTGATGTCCCCTGCAACT